TTGTAAAATTTTTATTCAGCATCATTTCAAAGTTCTCTTCTTCTGTAGTTAATCTTGTTTATTTATTATCTCCGATTTTTCCCCAGGTACGACAAAGGGATGTGTATATTTAAAAAAAAATTAATACAGGTCTTGTACTACTTCTTTAAATTTTAATAGTTTCAACTAACATTAGAAAAAAAAAAGAATTTTGTAAATAATAATGATATATGTAAATAAGTGTGTACACCAATTCGTTATATAGATTGTAATTTGGAAGGTGTACTTGATTAGCAATTGATGACTAATGACTAATCTGCATATAAACATTGACCGCTTTGGATAGTAAACTATCAATTTATAGTACATAGTAATTGGCTAAAAAATGTCCTGTCCCAAAATATCTCTGATTAAAAGTGGATGAGAATGCCAATTTATATACTTGTTACATTTTTTAACTATAATGCCACTTCAGTTTATTGTTTTTATTTTATTTTTGGATTAAGACAAGTCTTACTAATCCAATTAGAATTGGATTCTAAAACTATCACATATTGATTGAGTAAATAAAAAATTTGGAGTTTCAATTTTTGTCTCGCCTTAGAGGTATATATTTATATATAAAAGTTTAACACTACGACTTATCCATGCATAGTATCACCAGTGAAGATGATACACGGCTGAAAACACATTTTATATTCATATTTACTTTAAATATGTATATATTTCTTATGTGCCTGTCCCATGTCAGGAGCCGGTGGTTCACTTGTTGTCGTTGATTCATATCTGTTATATTTGTTTTTCGTAAATTGTTTTGTTTTAAATCAGGCCGGTAATATCTCTATTGAATTGTTTCATATTTTTTCAAGTTGGACCCTTTTATAGTCGACTATATGGTATGGATTTTTCTCATTGATGAAGGCCGTACGGTTGCCTATCGTTGCTTACATCCACTTCATTTCTTATTGGCAATCATACCACATCTCCTTAATATTTTTTAACTAAATACGTTGAATATTCTCAGATAATTTAACATGTAAGAATCAGCTTTCAGTACCTGGGGGGTACTTTAAGATCGGTACTCTCTGTCTTTCATCATAAAAATGTAATTGTTTTGGGCTTAATTCAAATTTGATTAGTTGAGCTATTTCCAACTGAATTTTACAGGTTTTTTTCTTACATTGTGCTGTTACACCAGAGTGTTGAGCGCTGATAAACGCGTTTAATCAAACCAAATTCTATATTGGCTTTCCCAAGTCAGGAGCTTTCAATTCAGGGGATGTCGTTGGTTAGTTTCTGTCATTTTTGGGTTATTTTTACTCTTGTAAAAATATTTATTTTCGTTTGACTGTAAAGTCAATGCCTTATATACACTAGTATCTGATAATACGGTATGAGTATTTGCTTATTGTTAACAACAGCACGAGCCACTGTAGTCGTTATTCGCGCCATTTAGACTCTGTTTGATAGTTTGGCGCTCCACACGGATCCAGGTATATACATGTCGGAGTGTAAGGAATAAATCGGGAAAAAAATGCATGCTAAGAATACTTATGCTTTTGAAGAGAAATTGAAAATATTTGTTGAACGGACAGACTGGCGGACGGACATGACAGACAGGGTGATTGTAATATGAGTGCGGGTACAATATTTTGTCAGTTTATGTATCTTAGATGCTAGTGGTAAGGAAGTCTGGATCAAAACGGGGTAATCTTTACTTGTTAAAAACATTTTATACTATTTAGAATAATAATTGCATGCCTACTGGATATTAATACAATAGCAAGTCACAAGGATAATGGAAGCTGTGAAACACCATTTTACAGTAAAAACTGAGCTTTTTGATACAGAGAAACAAGGAGAAAAATCAAATAAATTAAAATAAACAAGTTTTGCTAGAATAATAATATATGCACATAAAGCATAAAATATATGTAATATTTATCGCTGGATATACGACAAACATCAAGTATTAAAGCGTGAGGCTAAATCTTCGTCGTATGTATTATAGCTTGAGGCTAAATTCTTATCTGATATTTTAGCCAATTTATGGCGAGAACTTATTTTACGCATGCATCTCTTTGCTACATAGGTTTTGTAAATGTCCAAGTTAAGGCCAATAGAGATCATAGAAGTATGTTTATCAAATGATCATGTCTACTCATAATTAAAACAGTAAGAAAGGGATTGACTCGTCCGACTAAAACGAAGCACAAAAACAGCAATTACTAGTATTTCCAAATAAACTCCATGTGCCGATCTTAGATTATTCACAGCTACTGAACACATCTTAAAAACAATTACAACTAATAATCCAGTCTAGAATATTAATCAACTATTTCGTACTGTTACACCACTGTACCAGGTAAGTGGGACGGCTAACATGTTTAACCCCGCCACATTATGTATGGCTGTGCCTGTCCCAAGCTAGGAGCCTGTAATTCAGTGGTTATCGTGCTGTTGCTGTGCTTTTGTTCGTTTTTCTGTACATTAATTAGACCGTTAGATTTATTGTTTTAGTTGTTTTACATTTGTCATTCTGTGGTCTCTTAGAGCTGACTATGCGGTATGGGCTTTGTTCGTTGTTGAAGGCCGTACGGTGGCCTATAGTTGTTAATTTCTGTGTCATTTGGTCTATTGTGAAGAGTTGTCTAATTGCAAATCATACTACATCTTCCTTTTTTACATATCACAAATTTAGTATAAAAAGTACATAAACAGTCTAGAAATGCAAGACCTTTTGTCATGTCAAAAGCACAGAGTGTTTGTAGGACCATTAGTGTTCATAACTGTATAGCAGATTATATGTAGTTTCTATAAAATGTAATAATAATTTATCGGCAAAAGATCCATGATGATTTGTTAGTGGAATTATATATAACTGAATAAATAAATATTCATTATAAAAAGAAACATCAGAAACAAGATTATTTGTCCATTAGATTGCACGCCAGTATCACATTTTCGTGTTAAGAGAGCTCTAAATCCAGGAAAAAATCCAATTCAGTATGTAGTCTTAAACTTTTAAATCTCAAGCGAGATGTCAAATGTTCAAACATTGTTGTTTTTCAAAACGTATTTATCAAAGTCAAACGACAATCATTATATTCTTTTTGGTGCTATACAGTTTTTGATTAAGGCTGGATCCAAGATATTTGAAAGAAGGCGTAGTTCCCGATAATTGAATTCATACTGCCGCGAGCGTAGCGATTCAAAATAAAAAAAAAACATTTGGACGATGTAGTACTAAAAATTTGTATAGATAACGTGGAAAACGTGAGATTTTCAAAATTATTTGGCGATCGAAAGGGGGGAGTACCCCCTCTAACCCTGTATCCCCGAATGCATGTTAGGTATACATGGACAAAAACCTCGTCCCATGCATTATTATAGTTAAAGACGAAAAAGTACTATTTGATAAATGTATAAATGATATGAATTTCTGCCCACGTCAAATTATCTTGAATTAAATTATACAAAAATGATTTTTTTAAAAGTTAGTCGCGTACACCTTTTTCATTCGGGTGTGTTGGATTCTACTTTTAAACGTTAAATCTTATAAAAACAAAAAAAAAAGATAACATTCTCGCTTCGGATTTCATTACTTTTAATATTTTCATGCTAAATGTTTACTTGGTAGTTTTTTAAAATTCATATTTATTTAGAGAAGAACTGAAATATGGGTCAAGTGAAATGACAAGAAATGATAGGTGCATTTGATTACAAGTTGCTAGCTTACTTATTCCATTAAAATGTTTGTGTCAATAAAATCATTCAAAATTTAATAACAAAATTTTTAAAGATTAAAAAAAGTAGTTGGTGTTGATTTTTACCTTAAGTCAATATCAGCAAAAAATGCCTGTTCAAAGAGAAAAAATACATGCAGTGTATGCTCCCCTCCGTAATGCTTCAATGCAACACGACGAAATACGTTGAGTTAGGTCGGTTATGTCGAGTAAAGTCATTTTATTGGAAATCTCTAATAAACCTTTATGACATGTTATTAATTGATATGAAAACTATACACATACAACATTCAGCATATTGGTTAAACCCTCTCCAAGATGATACAGTCATAAACTGTTGTTGAATTTGTGAACATGATAAGATTATGATATATTAAATATGAAAAAAAGTAATTATATATTGAAGTCTGAATTGGATTAAGGAATATGGTTCCGGCGTCAGAGACATAAACCTCATATCTATTTCAGTTCAAACACAATAAAAGTTCCCATGCACTGTGCGAAATAGTAAACACTGTTCACCTGCTGCAAGAACAAACAAATCCAATAAACAATACAGTGTATAAAGATTTCATAAAGGCATATCAACAAATCATGTGTTTACTTTTACAGGACAAGCACTTTTTATTCTTTTTAAAATCAAAGTTTGGCTGGGCTAAAGAATTTAAATATTATCTCATTGACCTCGCCATTCGAGCAGTTACACAAGTAAAGACGATGTCTTCTCAATAACAAGTAGTACTACATAAGCTGTCATGTTTTCTCGAAATGGGCGGTAGGGTACTTCGATTCCCCGCTCTCTGCATATAAAAGAATCTTTTGCAATATCTTTTATCGTCGATGAAATGTTGAAAAAATACCAAGAACATCTAATTTTTCTGGAAACAGTCGAACATTCCGGCATTCATAGCTTTTGACAAGTTTCACAGAACCTACTGTTTCTAATTTATTGTCTTATTTGTGCTTTTTATTGCATACAGTCTATGTTGAATTTTCGCGAAGACTTGTTTAAGGGAACTCTTATTTAATATTTCAGCATTTCAAGTCTGTTACTTGAGAGTAACCAAATAGACTAGAAACTGATGAATCACATGGTTCATCATTTTATCTGTTTTTTCGAGTCTTAACGATTTTCTGGTTTCGAACATGTGGCTATCATTTACATGTACTAATTTTATTTCTGTACGAATTATATTTCCTGGTGAACTTTTTCATTTTTCTTATATAATTTTTCCCTGATACAGTCATCTAAATCTTGTTTTCTTACTTCAGGACGAAAAGTTGTTATAAATGGCAACAGCTTTGATACCACCCCATGTTTATCTGATAGATATCAACCCTTCCGTTTCATAACAACTCAAGGCAGTGATTGTGTATTTAAGAAAGAAATGTGCAATAACGAAGGGCAGGTTGTCTACAACAACGGATCGGTACAGAGCAACAGAAGATGCAGATGTGACCATACAAAAGGTTATTCATTTGTGAAATCAACGAAATCACCCAGAAATGACGTTTGCTCGTGTAATCCAACATTTCAAGACTGCTCATGTTACCTCACAAGGTGTAGGAAAGGTTATATTTTGTCACCAGGTAAAAGAAAACAATCTTTGACATTATATTACAGCCATAAATTCAATATGAAAAGGGATTTTCAAAACTTAACACAATGTTCGTAAGTATCATTAATGTAGTTTAACGTTATAGATGGAAAACCCTTGTGTCTAAAGAATACAGTATAGAAAGTTAACAAACAGAAAAACCTAAGTGAGGCCTATATTGGGATACGGGATATTTGCCACTTTAATTTTAGGGATATGGGATATTTGTCCTAAAAAATAAATGGGATATGGGATATTGATGCATTTTTAGGGATATTGAATTTTGAACATGGAAAAAAAATGTGGAATTTAAAAGTTAATCCACCATTTTCTACTTTTAAAAGGAGATGCCTGTACCAAGTCAGAAATATGACAGTTGTTTTTCTTTCTTTTGATGTGTTTGAGCTTTTGATTTTGCCATTTGATGTGGAACTTTCTGTTTGAATTTTCCTTGGAATTCGGTATTTTTGTTATTTCACTTTTTGTTATAATTTTGAAAATTGACTTTTATTTATTGTTTTAGGAGAATACGGCTTAATTTTTACTGCATATAACTGCAGTAGGCAAACGGTTCTCTCTATCGACATTTGAGCAATATTTTGATTGATTGTTGGTTGCTAAACGTCCTGTGGCATTGAGCAATATAGGAGAGAATAAACGGAAACGGAACAGTATGTTCTTTTTCATTGTTATCAATACAATATTACAATAATACATGTGAAACAAGAGGTAAACATATACAGTTAACGTACCTAGTATCTGAAGTTTTTTTTTTTCTTTATTGTCATCCAATTTCAGGATTTTGAACAAAAGTCCATTCGTCCTGGTTTTTTTTTTTAGGAATATATATATAAAAGTTGAACTGCTACATTTCTTCTGCAGTTATTTTGGATTCTTATCAATTTTGTTGATGGTTCGGAAAAAGAATAACTGACTTTTTGTTTTAAATTCTTCCGTTTTTTAATTCATCACTATCGGAATTGCACAATAGTTTCCCCCTGAATTGTTCATAACGTTGCTGTGGGACTGAATTGACTGTTTTGATAAGTTTATCTATCTAAGGATAGCAATTCTTAAGACTAGTCAGTACGGTAAAACTTATAAAGCCTTGTTAGAATCTTGAAATCAAAAACCCTATATAAATGGATCAAGATGGTAAAATATATTTTTTTTAAACAAATTTATTTATATGCACAATCTACACTTTCTTCATGTTACATCCAGATATAGGCAAAAACTCGGTAATGGTATCTCGAATCATTCTATCCTCTCCATCGCGAGACAGATGGAAATGTTGTGCATTAGAAGTAAAAATTTTATTGTTCCTTTAGTAATATTAGTTCCAAATGGAAGAAATGGTATGGAATAGTATTTCTACTGAAAGAAATATTACAGTATTTGTCAAAGAGAAAAGAATGTGTGTTCCAATGGTAACATATATAGCATTGTTTATAACAAAGTTCCCAAAAATGGGTTTGGGAATGAATTGATGATTTTTTGAGGATATTTCAAAATAGTTTTAGGGATACGTGATATTTGTAAAAAATATTTATTGGGATATTAGGGGTAAACATTATAGGGATATGGGATATTGGGACAAAAACTTAACGGGATATGGGATATTTATACCCCCTAAACAAGCCTCCTAAGACGTATGATATGATTTCTTTGGAAAAAAAACCACGGTTTGGAATAAAAAAGATAGTTATAAAATGATTAAGGTCAACTTTGTCTTACCTTTAATCTAAAGAACTCAAAGTTCTTCTACAAGATTTATCAGAGAAGATCTTTACTTTGAATTTGAGTAAATGATGACTGAAAAGTTATATTTATAACATAACATGAAAAATTTGCGAGGATATCAAACATTAACGTATTATACCATTATCAGTGCAATTATTGACGTAGGCTACCTGAATATCTTCCATCGGGTACACTTGCGACAAAATGGTTTGTTAAAAAAAGGGTAAATTACGAAGTGCCTCCACTCTAACACCCAAAAACAAATAATAAGTGTTAAATAAACATTATTGCAATATGAGTTCCAGAATAGATAGCTTCTCAACCTTTAGTCTCAACCTACTATTAAATTTAAGTGATTTCAGAAAAGTAACACTTGGTGCGCTAAAGAAATAAGATCATGCATAAGTCTTTCTACCACGTGTTCTGCAGATTTATATCTTTATAGTAATGAATCCTAGATTATTGCTTAACTTCATAAAGACCGAAATAAACACCTTTTGATATGTAATCTTTAACAGTTATGCGCATATTTCCTTGTCATCAAATTGATTCTTTTTCTTGAAGAAATATTATTTATCGACCGTAATAAACTTTGTCTTAAGAAAAATCTAAAAGTGAACATGCCTTTTTTAGATTTCGATAATTCTATTTCTAGTGTTAATCTTCATTCCTGAATTTTATTGCCCTCTGCTTTTCTGCTGTTAATATCCTTGATTTTGATTTCCACTGGCTCCTAAATGGTTTTGGTTTGATAAATTCATTTTGGATTTTAAGGAACGCTGTATTCATGTATTTAAATCTATTAATGCTAGGATATAATATAACCTCATTTATTGGTCAAATTTTGTACTAAATTTTATCATTAATATATAAGAATTTACTGCGGAGAATTCTTCAATCTACAGGAAATAGATAATAATAGGTATATTTTATATAAAGCTATCAAATCTCGGAATTGTCTAATAAAAGTTTCGGTTAAAGCTCAAAAGACCTATTGCTTAAGGTAATATGTATCCAATTTCATACTTTAAGTTTTACCCAAGCTAAAGGTTATTTTCTTCAATTTTTTTTTCTGCAATGGAATTTTGTACACATTTATTCTGCAATTGCATAAGTTCGTGACTTCCTGTATTGTCCATGGCATGCTAAATTAAATGTACTCTGATGCGCAAACACCTATGAAAAACGGCATGGTTTAAAATCAATTTCAATAATTTCAATAAAACTTGTCAGTATTTAGAAAATTCTTTAATGATGTTCCATCTGATACTGTTATGTTTCGACTTATGTGTTTTGTTATCTGAAGTATCTCAATAATGTCAAGTGCTTTTATTGTACCGATTATATTAGTTGTTTTCTACTGTACTATTGTTTTTGTTTGCTTTGGAGGATGTAACAGATTTTTTTTTTAAATTGCAGTGAAGGATTTTCCATTTGATTGAGGAAAATCTATCCCAAATGTTGTACCAAAATTTCTTTTGCGATCCCATTTACATTGTGTCTTTTGTGTTTTTGTTATTTTTGTTATTATTATTTTGCTTTTCAACTGAGTTTTATAGGGTGTTCTGACGTTGTGCAGTTACATCACTGTCCCCAGTTAGCGGGAATGCTGGGAACCCGCAAACATGTACAACCCCGTCACATTCTACATGTGCATGTCCCAAGTCATGAGCCTGTAATTCAGAGGTTGCCGTTTGTTGCTATATATCATACTTATTATTCGTTTATTTTTTGTCCATAAGTCATGCCGTTAGTTTTCTCGTTTGAATTGTTTAAACATTTGTCATTTTGGGGGCTTTTAAAGCATGCTATGCGGTATGGGTTTTGCTCATGTTGAAGGCCATAGGGTGATCTATAGTTACTTCTACGTCATTTGGTCTGTGGTGGAGAGTTGTCTCATTGGCAATCATACCCCATCTTTTTATTTTCATAATGGGCCAATAATTGTCTTATTGTCAACATCTGTTAAGAAATAATTGAAAACAGCAAATCATCTAGTGTCAGGGTTAAACCAATTTTTTAAACGCAACTATACATCGTTCATAAGCTGTGAAATATAAACAAAATGTATACTAAAGAAATTCAATGTATTGTTCATATATATATATATATATATATATATATATATATAGACACAAGTACAATCACGCCAATAATAAAGTATACCGTCTCAATGAATGCTAAAACAATGCTTGCTGAGAAAAAAGTTTAAGCTAAATATCCTGTAGGTGATATATATTGGCTGATTGTTGTATGATTAACGTCCAATTCTAATTGTTTCATGCATGTTCAGGACGAGAACAAATTAACAATAAATTCAATACTAAAAGGTAGGTACTGTCTTAGAGGTAAATGAAGGTCAGAGAAATTTTGACTGCCACTGGAAAATGAAAGTATCTTGGATAGGGACAGAAATTTTGCTTTGCAACAGACCCCCTACGGACCCCTCAAATAGTTGTTGCAAGGGTTCTTAACGTGCAAAGAGCGTGAGCTTCTCTTTACACGAGGCATCGGATTTTACGTCTTCATTTTGACTGGAAGTGGCAATGTACTTGTACACCCTGGACAGCCAAAAATAGACGACCTATTTGGCAAGGCTTTTACTGCTGGTCGGAAAAAGAGTGACCATATTTCTATTCCCCAGTCACCCTTGGTGATATATATTCGCGCAATCTTTCATTCTAATAACGCGGCTGTATGTATGTCAGACAAGCATAGTGAAACGCGATCTTGCACAGAGTAGAATAGTACAATATTTCAATCCTGAATAGAATGAAAAAAACTGTTAAGGCATCATCTAACTATGATAAAATAATTGATGTTAATTCCCATATATACAAGACATAAATATTGAAGAATATAAATATAACGTCCGTTTAGCCAAAACAGAAGAGGTAAATCACATTTTCTAAACGGTTTTACTGCATAAAAATATAAGCAAAAAAGGCTTCGTTAGAAATATCACGTTTTATTAAATTTTATGCAGGTAAAATCATAACAGAAGTGATCCAAAAAGTAAAATAACAAAAATCCAGACTCCAAGGAAAATTCACTTTCTGAAAGGATTAGTGTTGCTCAGTATTTAGTTTTAGACCCCGTTAACACTTGTATATTTGGATCACTTTTAATTAGATTGGTTCACTTTAGATCGATTTGAGCCCAATATGAACGCTTTGAATCGATCTTGAATCCGTCTAAACTAAAACACAAAAAGAGGTAGTTTAGTTTGAATCGATCTTAAGTGAACTGATTTAACTTTAAATGTGAACGCAGAGAGATCAATCTAAACTAGTACGATTGAATCGAAAACTATTTACAAGTGCGCATGTATGGCGGCAAAAACACGTGCAATTTATTACAAAATATAATGACAAACAGGGTTAAAAATTAACGAAAACTATACGAACAGAAGTATCAACATTTGAACTTGAAATTCAAGTGACACAATAACTTCATCCATTATGTTTTTGCAAGAGTGTGTATCAACAAATTAATTTGATTGAATATTTCTATGTATACAGAGTGTTTACAATTTCTCGTGTAATTAGGTCAGATCGATTGCATTTTTTCTTAAGCTTGTAGTGTGAACGCAGTTGTTCAGTTTAGACCGATAGAGATCGATAGGTTTAAAGCTTAAGATAATGCGAACGCTAACTGTTTTTATTTTACTTAGATCGATTGAAAAATGCTAGTGTAAATGGGGTCTTATATGAACAGTATTGTGGACTACTTTGTCTTTTCGTCGTTTGTCGCTTTCATGAAGTTGTCAGTTTTTGTTGTTTTTTTATACGAGTATCACTGAAGATACATGTTTATGATAACTTTTGGATTTTCAAATATTTTGTGCTTGAGCATCACTGAAGACACGTTGTTTTGTCGAAACGGTCGTCTGATTCAGTGATATTACTACCGTTAATACGTATGAGTCTTAATGTCCCATTGGTATCTACTGTCTCTCTTTTTTAATAGATATATTAGTTATACGAAATTAAGGAAAATTGTTGATGAATTTATGATGTTTTTAAAATCCTCGTTATACACTTTTAGTAATGAAATATAATGTGAATTATCAGTAACACGGAGCCTCTCTCTCCAACAAGAAACAACTTGCTTTCTTTAAAAAAAGAAAAGCAACACGTGAACCCGCTGACTGATCATCAAAAAATTGTTGTTGGATTTTTATTTTTGCTTTTGATTTGAAATAAATGACTGTGAATAGAATAAGGCAATGATGATATTAAGCACCTTTATTGAAAATATGTAATTTTGTGTGGATTCTTGCACGAGTCAATTGAAAGCAATGTTCGATTTTAGTTGTGAATTGAAAAGGGTATATATATGCAGCTACTATTTGAATTTACCTTTTAACGCTTGATTATTTTATTTCTTGGGAGTGTACATAATTTTTCCTATTGCAAATTCCAGTTTTCTGCAAACCGGATGTTTAATGTAAACTGCACAAACCCAATCGCAATACAAATTTAATCACTCAGTTTGCATGCAACTTATGAGAAGGTTTCGTATATTTTTCTTGAGAGTAACACACCAGCTTTATTGGGACCTCTTATACACTGACAATTATTTTGGTCTCATAAAACATCTCAAATTTTAAGGATTTCCTGAAGTTATTTAAATCAATCCAAATATTCTACATGAAAATACTGTTTTGAAGAATATCATATTTTCAGTAGTTTTATGAATACCTGAACATACTCTTAAAAGAACCAATTTATTTAAAAAGATATGTAGATATACAAAGATACCGTGTGAACAAGGTGATATATAATGTAATTGAATCAAGACAGGATAGTTGGTCAACACAATGAATATAATTTTTAAAATCGTATCATATTGCAAAGATTAAGATGCTATAAGGTTGAACTATATTTAAAAAACAAAAACAAAAAAAGAATTGAAATTGAACATACATTCCTGTGAATGAATCTTTTCCGAAAATTAAGAATATGATATCAATAAACACAAAGTACTACTGGTGGACATTTTATTTATCAAATCAATCTCTCCTTTAAGTCTTACTTTCCATTATATCAATATATTGTTATACAAAATATAAGCAAGACTTATAAAACCATACTGAAACCGTATAAAATAATTAATGTATTAATTAATTTTTTTATGATTATTGTAAAATATTAATAACGTTTTTTGTGAGATTCAAGGATTTAAAATACTTGTAAATTGAAACCATGCAAGTATTTTGTTCATTCACTACCTTTTAAAATTTCGATACTTACTTATGTGTACGCATCCCTGCTCAAGAAAATCATTTTGTTTAATTATCTTTCTGCTTTCCGACCACTGTTTTTCCGACCTAAGATAAATATTCATAACATTAAATTGTTTTCTTAGTTTTCTTCATGCTTTCTGACATTTTCCCAGGCTATGATTGAAACATAAAGTATCACGGGGTAAACGTTCAGAAATAATCAGTTTATTCTGGGACTTATATATTAATAAACTATTTCCAGGTTTATTGTCACAATTCACAATAGCACGCTGTATTAAATACTACTTTACACACAACGCGTACAGGGACCGTCTCAAAACATGAATTTTAAACTAGAAATTGCGTTATAATTAAACTTGATACCAATAACGGTGCATGATGTAAGAGTAACTAGAGTTTAAGAAATTTCATTTAACTAGCAACAACAATCTGAATGTTGTCAGATAAAATGTTTTTTCAATAGCTTCATGTAAGTTGAACATATCTTTCTTTATGAGCTTCGAGGTACAGTTATACACGTATTAGGCCTCAGTAAGTTTCCATGCGGAGTACTTTTTTATTGACGATATACTTTGAAAATTATGATGCCTTTAATCATTTCTTTGCAAAGTGTTTCTTTAAGTGAACTAACTGTAAGAGAAATCGTACATATAGCAACATGTAAAGTTGCACTCAGATTTATTATTAAGACATTTTCTCATTAATAAACACATTTTGTTGGATATAATTTGTAGAAGATTAATGTCAATAGTATTGAAAGCTTAACTGAGACAATCGTATGCTCACTTAAGTAGCACATACAAGATTGTCCATGGCAATTTCAACAGTTCAGATATAGGTATTAACGCTATTACTATACGCTTTGTTACTTCATTTGATAATAATCGTTTAATTGTGGTACATTCAACCGGATACATATATAGTAAGAATTATATAACGACTTTTGTGTTATTTAGGCATGCTATATTTGCAATCCAGATTTCCTCCAAAAGACTAAATAGATTTCATCAAATCTTACGTAAACCCCTTGGGCTTGTGTAAAGGGAAACCATAAGGAGTTAAATTTGTAAGATTCCTTTGGACAGAACAAATCTTTTAGTCACTTTTTACTATATTTTTGCATCTTATAACTGATTTTAAGATTTGTATGATAAGATTGAATATGTATCAGATCAGCAATGAATAAATGTTATTCACTTTAAGATAAGATTAATTATTTTCGCTTTTTAACATCTTTAAAATATAATTTCAGATTACTACTGTATAATGATTGATAAATATTCTAACCAAAGGTTTCGCTGTAAAGAAGTTCCAGTAGCAAAGTAAGTATGCAATAAGCCCTGACAATAAATTAACTAAATTGCTTGGATTTTCGTTCCCAAATTGTTTTAAAATGTTAGCCTAGTTTGCTTATTTGATTTTTTTATCAGTTTTTAAATTCCAAAGTCCATGTTTCAGACCACGCTACGCGTACGAACTGTACCATATGGATATAAACATAAACAATTTCTAAACGTTTTAATGATTTACAATTATCAATCGATTAGTTAATTCAGGCATAAACCTTAATGCCTACGATTATAAATATAAAAAAGGGGGTGAACATTTTCTTTCAATTAGGAAACACATGCGCAAAATAAACCCTCTTCAGATTGAGCGAACAAAACTTCAAAATACAGAGTATAAAACTGAACAATGGGAACATAGAAGTCGTTCTGAATGTTAATTGGTATAGAACTATATATTATACTTACCTTCCATATACAATCAAAGTTTCTTTCGAATTCAATGTCACCATTATCGATCCCTAAACCTATCAAATCAAAAGATCAAAAAGACATGTTAGAAATTGAATATTAATTTAATAGAAAATTTAGAATAATATTTAAATTACAATTTCTTTTAAGATTCCAGAATAGTCGTCTTATCTATCTATATCAATTTACGGATAATTTTAGTCTGGATACGCAAAATGTGTAAATGGAAGGACACGCCCAACTTGTCGATGCACTTGGTTTACTTCAGGTTGGAGTAAATGCGATTTCATTTTGTTTTGTATATTCAAAAATTGTTGGTGAATGTAACATCGGTAAACTACTACTTGACTTGACTTGTATTTCGGTATGCAAGACGTGCGTCTACAAAAGACTCAGCAGTTGAACTTAGTAATGCATATAATATGCAGATGGGAACTATCTTTTTCAGATTAATACTACAATGAATTTAGTAGACAATGTGGTTTAAGCCTTAGACTATTCTGGAATGTTGAAGTATGAAGATTTATTTAAAATCAACATAAAAAAAAAACCAGAAGATCGTGTGATGGCAAAGAACATTGCCAAGAATGCAAAAAAAAACAAAACAAAACACAGATTTCATGCGGCTCGTAAAAAAGAAGGAGACAGAGTGATCTTCAACATAAAACCAAAACCTTTCTTCTTTAAAAAAACGAAAGATAAGCACAACATAGAGACGTTAAACATATATTTTATATGTGAAAATGTCATGATATTCAGAATATACTAAGAAAATTCAATACTACTTTGAAACAGAATGTAAATACAAACTGTAGCTGGATTGTTGGGTCGTAATGGCTCGATCATTTCCCTCAGATTGAGCTTGACAAAAAGGATAGCGACCTGTCGAGAATCTTGGCGTGGCTAAGTGAGCATAACAACCTAAAAACATCTGAATACATATCGTTTAGAGCTAAATATTTGTTAGAATAAGTTCCGTCATGTTCTCAAGATCATGGTCATACAAACTCTTCATGCCGTCTACAAATATTGCAGAACAAACTTAATGATGTATTTTTTTTCCTTTTGTCCTCTTCCTTATTGAGTATCACGTATTTGATACTGATCGTAAAACAAGCATACAATCAATCAATCAATCAAATTGTCAAAAGAATGTCGTTATCATTTGTTTTAATGTTTCAGTCGAAATACAATAAAAGCTAAGTTTTATGTTGAGAGATTTAATAAATTTTCGGGTTGCATTAGCTATTTTCTCACAAAATCTCACAACTAAAATTGATTACTAAATACACATAAATGATCATGATCTACGAAATTTTTATTCATTTATTCATTATTGATATGAGTTAAAACTGAAATTACGTTCGCATTTGCAGACAGTTACGTTCCGCTATATATATCATTTCATCTTCCTAATTGTGAGCTTTCCATACCTATGTAGCAACATTGCAGCAGCGCCTGCGTATGAAGAATATATCTCCCAGTTGATACGATATTCCAGAGCTTGCATTTCCTATCAAGATTTCCTTGATAGTGGGTTTCTGCTTACATTGAGGCTTCAAATTTTACAGACGCCATCACGAGTAGGTTTACTATCATGGAATACAGTTTCTGTTATGATTGTGGCCTGTTATCTATTTCTCGCATGAATAAGATGAATAATATTTCTCGTATCACACTGCACGAAAATGCATTAATTAGATTGGCTTATCAATCATCATGAAACGATATTGGGAAATTACCATTGGCTATTCGTTGGGTCAATGATGACTTTCAAAGGTCAAAACGATGAAAATTTCCTCCATGACAACGGATATATTTGATTTCTTCAATTATATATACAAAACACTCTACCTTTTTACCTGACAATCTTATTTGTGTCTAATTTAATATTACATTCTGATACGTACAAAAAAAATTTAAAATGTCTGGTGTTAATGTTTGACGCCGGAACAGGACATATGACGTGTGCAAAAGACTAGATCAACGAGTCGCGGACCTTTTTCCTAAAACAAAGAGAATGTTCACCATAAGAAATGGGTTTAAAAATTCGTGATTCTGTTATCTAATTTAAATAGAAATAATACACTCGCCAAAGGCTTGTTTATCATTATAATGAAATTAGATTACTCGAGTTGGTATCAAGAGATATTCAATTCTCACTCGTTATGAAACCTGTAAGTATCTGTTTCACAGATGACGATGGATATGTTCCAATTGTTGTCGTAACCACAATTCTGTTCCCCTTTCATTGTATGTGACCTACTGAATTAGACTTTTTACCAAGTTCGTACTTACACAAGTAATACGATGGGTGTCAAATGTGGTGCAGGATCTGCTTCCCTTCCGGAGCACCAGATATCACCTCAGATTTTTAGTGGGATTCGTCTTGCTCAGTATTAAGTTTTGTATGACGTTGTTTAAACTATTTTTTGTGAAGTGATCGTTTTTCGTATTTGCCATGGCATTGTCAGTCCGTTTTCGATATATAAGTTTGACTATCCCTCTAGTATCTTCCGCCTCTCTTTTACGTAGAAGAACGAATGATTACAACGTCGTTTGTTTTAAAACTTGATATAAACATTTGTTTATCGAATTATATATATTTTGTAGAAATGATTTGCCAGACAGAATTGAAGAAGTTATATTTAAAAGCAAAACCGAAAAACAAATTAAAGGTATGTCTGGTTTACTATTTTACAGTAGAATCGATATTGATTACATACTGTTGTTAATAATTTGTCCAACTCAATATTCTCACTACTATGATGATATCGCACTAAATTGTTAAAAAAAATAACATTGAACGATCAAATGTACCTAACATTTATATTTGAATAATATCTTTTTTATACTGTTATCTAAAAGGCTAACCAATCTGCAAGAAGTATCTAACCCTAGCATAATTTTGACGATTAAACATAAGATTCATAAGATTCACGATGCATATTTTAATCAACTCAATGATGAATTCTATCCGAATTTTTATTAAAAATAAAATAATTTAAAAACAATGAATTTCTTTCGAAAGTTGAGGAAATAAGCGAGTTCATTTCAAATCAAACCAAGTATATTATATGTTTTTCAGGTCTCAAACAGGGTATAAAATGTGAAATTCCCGGCTTAGAGTTTAAATTTCCTGAGCCGAAGGCAAAGGGATACATTTAAACAAACCTTCAGCCGGGAATGTCACATTATATAGCTGTCTGAAACTAGAATTACACATATATTAGGGTCTACCCCTGCCTTAATGTTTTTTTCTAGAACAAGGTATCATGCAGTAAAATTGAGAATGGAAATGGGGAATGTGTCAAAGAGACAACAACCCGATCAAAGAGTAGAAAACAGCCGAAAGCCACCAATGGGTCTTCAAAACAGCGAGAAAATGCCGCACCCGGAGGCGGGCTTCAGCTTGCCCCTAATCAAAATGTGTGCTAGTTTCATGAAAATGGACGTCACACCAAACTCCAAAACATATAAATGAACAAAAATTAAAAAAACATACAAAGGCTAGAGGCTCCTGACTTGGGATAGGCGCAAAAATGCTGCGAGGTTAAACATGTTTTGTGAGATCTCAACCCTCCGCCTATACCTCTAGCCAATGTAGAATAAACAAACACACAGCAATACGCACAGTAAAACTCAGTTTAAAAGAAGTCCTAGTCCGATGTCAGAATAAATAGAAGAAACTAAGCAAAATAACAATGATACATAAATTTACAAGGTACTACTTGCAGTTACTGACATGCCAGCTCCAGACCTCAATTAAACTGATTGAAAGATTATGTCTTCATCATATGAAAATCAAGCAAAATTCCACCCGTTAGGGATTAAGTATCATACCATCATTTAACATATGAGAAGAACATAACCCGTATCAAATATTTAGTATAGCGTTATAGTTTAAGTAATTCATTTAAATGCAAGTTTTTCGTCTTGACAAATATTTCTTTACATTAAAGATATTTTTAAGATTTCATGTAAACTGTTTGTATGTTTAATTGAGACTTTTTATGTATTATGACTTTTTGTGACAACAAAAATATTGAATAATCCAACCTTATATTTTCCACATACGTGAATGATTTTGTAATTTGTTTTGAAAATAATTTTTATTGTGTATGCTATAATTTTTAATAACACTTTAAGATATATTAATTAAGTATTTGATGCGTAAATCGTGTGATGTTAGATTTAAAACGTTTTTTTGACAGATACACCTCATTATGTTCCCCTCTGTTAGCCTCTGACATTCTATAAGTGTTCTGTATAGTTGAAGCTTACGTCACATAGTAGGTTCATTATGATGACGTTGTTGAGGTTCCAATTTGGATAAAATACGTCGTATATACCCTGGCAGTTTCCTGAATAAATACTTACATCTCTCGCTGTTGTTATCCACACATTTGTAATCCGTAATATAATACTCTGTATGAAATCATCAAACAAATTAACTTCAGATCTACCAACAAGTTTGTTTGCTTCGGTTTTTGTTTTGTTTTCTTATTGTGTTTTTTAACCACATCATAAAACATCCATTCTAAATCAATTTCTCTAAATTACCTTTCATTATATTCAGACAATTGTGATCATTGTTCTACTTTAAAATTGTATTGATAGCCCCTTTTCTCTCCCCAACCACCAAAGACTTAAATCATTCATAAATATATGATTGTAAGTACTATCCAGTCACATTTTAAACAAAACTCACTTACGCTTTCTCTCAAAACCCTTTTCTGTCAAAATATAGCATTAAGAACAATTATATCAAAACTTTTATAAATATTTACAATACACAACTCATTTAAGAACTTGTTTAAATATACATATATCCCATTACTAAAAGGTAGTTTCATATCATGAATAAGCGAAGTAATTAAATAGAAATTTTGCAAAAAATGAATATCAAATGATTGTAAAAGAGAGACAAAAGATACTGTTGGAAAACATTAGCTTTCTATATCACAAGTTTTATTAACAGAGAGACAAGGGACCCTCGCCGAACTTTTTTTCGTTACGAGTACAGATTCATGACTTTTTGTACATTTGATATGTTCCTACAATGAAGATATATATCTGTTATCACGACGCTACAACATTTGTTTAATTATGTACTCGTTGTCTCGTTATTTTGCTTAAACAAACTCAGAATTAGAAGGACAATATAACTTTGTATACTAAACAAATTTTTTCAAAATACCAGTTGTATCCAGGCGCAAATTTGGTCCCATATGTTTTTCTAACTAAATTGAGTCAGTTGCCCTTCTTGTTGAATATGAACCATCGAGTAATCTTTCGACCTAGTAGTCAGTGCTCCAATACCAGCACTAATACTAATGTTGAACTGTTAATTCGGAGATATTCCTCAAATCAACAGTTTAAAAATATAGACGGTTACAAAAATCATTTCTATTTTCATATTTTAGATTTACCAAAGACAGAAATACGGAAGGTATACATTGGAGCTTTATCATGTATATTTGTTTTACTTGGAGTATTTGGAGTATTTTACTGTTGCAACAGACAAATAAAAGACATAAGATCTCAACCGGAGAAAGTCATTAGCAACATAATTCCAACAGGAACAAATCATACAAAATCCGATGTCATAGAAATGGATGAAAGTTTGTATGAAACAATTGATGAAAGTAAACTACATACTGTGCGTATTCAGACAGTGAACAATTCAACGCTGGGACTAAATGAAGATGTTTACAGCTCAACAGATGATGACGATGATCGTTCAAGTTATCTGAATCCGTATAACAGTCTTCTTAAAGAACCATCTGATTATCATACATATGAGAAAATCTAAACACCAAGTTTGTCAACATCATAAAGAGATGCAATTTACAAAACAACTTATTATTTTTCATGGAAAATTCATTAGACATACTAAAAGTAGTATAACAAAATTGCCGAACTCCACGGCAAATTCAAAAAGGTGAATTCCTAAAAAACTGACAAAATCAAATGTTATCAACTAACAGAACGACTGTTATATTCCTGACTTGGTCGTTCGTTTTCCGACAAAAAAAGTGGGTTAAACCTCCCACTCTGATGATAGTTTTTTTTTATAGTTCTGTTATTTTGAAAAAGTTGGATAAGGAACCCAAACAGACATAATAGGTAAATGTGACGATTCTTTGGACCCAGCAGCCAAAAGTGTGTAAACAAACATCACAAACATACAACACAAATGACTTAGAAATAAAAAAAAAACAAAGAAATCTAACAAAAACGCCAACAAAAAAAAAAGAGTTTGTAAGTGATATTCAATTGACAAAGACTAAGATAAAAAAAAGTTGTGTAGTTGATAGTACATACCGTATGTAGTATATACTTTCTCAATTAAGTACAAATAACGTAAAATATAAATGCAAGGATACATAGAATAGAAACAACAATGCAAAAACCTCTCCGTCTGAATTTCAATTGAGGACCCACATGAATCAAGAATGTCCAAAGTCAATAACCAAATAGCAGGATGCATAAATACCGAGTCACGTCAAAAGTCGAACAACCAAAAGAAACATAATAGCACAACACAAATAAAGGTAAATCTGGAAAGTAAATAAAAATATATACATCTTCAACACCTGGAATCTTTCACTCAAGACCATTTTGTATTGCTTGTGAAATAGACATTGAATATTTATCTATAAGGTCTTGGTACTTTCCGATGAAATTTTTGAGAAAAGGGACGAGTCGTGCTTTGACAAAACTGTAGCTCATTAATGTTTTACTAAGACACCCAAGACGTATTACGAAGTCTCAGTAGGAACTGAAAGTTCTTGAACATAGTATGAGTTAATAAATGTATACTCCATAAACGGGTGAAGTTGGTACATTGCTGCTAAGGTGAGGAAGATATATAATCTAAAAATTTAGATCGTTTCATTTGTCATAGATTCTGATATTGAGATGACCACTGTTGTCAAATTCAAAGTAAATGTTTATAAATAAGACAGAGAGGTCGGCTAGGGGAGGTTCAAATGTGGTTCCCACAGGAATGTTTATAACCTGCTGGAAAATTCTACCTACAAATTCAACAAATATTTTGTCAATGAGAAACTCCATCGTATTGATCACTTTTTCTTCGGTGAAGAATGGGTTTTTTTCCGAATAGATACCTTAAAAGTGGTATAATTTATAAATTATACATAGTAGAAAGTAGAAGACAAGTTAATATTATTATAATGTCAAATATTACCTACAATACACAAAGTGAACGATAAAACCAAACGATAATCAAACTCTTTTAGTAGTCAATCTAGATGATTAACAACGACATGTTGTAATACATGTCCAATACAGTATAAAATATATTTTGGTTTTATGGGTAACTATATTCATACATATGCAGTTGTAATGATTATAAGGTCTTTCAACTTTTCCGTGGGAAGACCTTTTGATTTTGTTCTTAATTTTTAAATATTCTTTCAGTCATGCCCAGTTACTATACTATGCTTTCTTGAAAATATTACTGAAAGAAAGTGTCGATAGAAAGGAAGATTATGAAGGTTTATTGTGTTCATACTTTAAAAAAAAACATTAGGTTTTAGATTTCAGAAGAAATTGAAACATCAGTCTGGAAACCAGACAACATTATTCCATGTTTAGGACCTGTTTACAAAGGTTAATAAACTGTTTAGGATATTCAATCGCATTGCATTATTTCATTGCTAGTAATAACTTGTCCTATTTAAGATTTACCAGTAACCATAGGAAAACATTACTCAACAACCTTAAGGAATCTTACCAAAATGGAATGCAGATGTTCTCATCGTCTCAGACTTTTTAAGATTACATTGGTTTTCCATGTGAAATTACAAGATCAATGAATAAAATTACTACATAAACTAAAACTCTAATAGAACATCATTGTTATTCATTAGAGGCACCTGCTATATACATCTTGGGCATTCTTAAAACTTTGCGGCATCATTGCAAAACAGAACTTTCGAGATTTACCTTATCACTGTACTGTGTGTTGCAAATGCCTTTCAAAGAATACCTCTTGCACTACAACATATAAATAACCCAAACAATAAAGAACAATACAAAAACTACACACATGATCTCAGTCATATTTTGGTAGGTGTACACTCGGATGCTGTATCAGAGTGTCTAATATTGGCATCTTTCTTCTATTCCCACAAACATTATTTAACATCAATAGATATAATAAATTACTCTTTGTCAAAATGTTTAGATGAATCATCATTGTCAAAGATTACATTGAAACATACAGAGGAATTGAAGCTTACATTACTGTTGAAGACATTACCAGTTAAATATGTCATATTTGAATTTCAACCATCACTCATCAAAATGCAACTGAAGTTTGATCTAATGAAAGTTGGATTTGGTATAAACTTCATACCATTTGCACATTTTCTCCGTTTTCTGTGTTGTTACCACCTCAAGGACTTCCAATCATGTTCGTATTGAAAAAAACAGTTGTCAGAAACAATAAATGACATTGATCTATCAAGGAGAGGAGTGTTTCACCATTATTTAATTTCTCTTGGAATAGCTTGTCAGATGTTAGGTGACAAAGATTTAGCAAGAGTGCAGTTTCGTCTTGTTGCATAGAATGATAAGTATAACAAAACAAGTGCTGCGACAACTCTAATTAGGCCTGATTTATAAAGAAAAAACACTAGTTGCCACTTAGAAGTATAGCCTAAACATGGTTGGACCTTATTTTTTTGAAAATTATATCACAATGACATTCTCAAAACAGCTTTGTATGCTATATAGTAAAACTGTTTTTACTTATAACTTAAAGTTCTGTAAACTAGAATTAACGTTATTTTCTTCGCGGAAATCCCAAAAAACAAGAAATAAATAGCGTAAAATTGTTGTTAACAAGGGGCTCAAAGGGAGTCACATTTGGTAATCACACTGACTGCGAAGTGATAACCAACGTATGGATTATATAGAGAATTGACAATGCTATATCATTTAAACAGTTATCACGTTTATTCACATTGTCTTGTTGTGTGATATTTTATTGTGTTACAATCAAATTATCATGCGTATTAATGTCTAGTTTTAGAGTAAATAAATCATTTCACTTCACAGTATTTTTACTTGGTTTATAGTTTTTTATACTGTATGAGTAAGTTCATGGAGTTTTTGTGTGTGTTTTCATAGCAGATATATAATTATAGGTTTTATAACGCGTGGGAATTGGATATCGCTTGATATCAACTCGAGTTATCTAATTTCAATATAATAATAAACAAGCCTTCAGAGAGTTTATCATTATTATTTAGATTCAATAACAAGCAATATTCAATTCTCACGAGTTGTTAAACCTATTTCTCTTATGGTCAACACTCTCATTGTGTTAAATTAACAATTCAGCTTATCGTTGATCTAGTCTTTTAACAGTATGACGTCATATGTCCTGTTCCGGTGTCAAACTATAACATCAGACATTTCGAAAAAAATTGTACACTTCAGATTGGAATATGATTTGGCAAGACGAAGATTTTCAGATGAAAAGTGTGATAGTCTATATGCCATCTTTTACTTTTTTTTTGTCGACCTCGTTGTTTTTTTTTTTTATTATTGATTATAACACAGTGTTGACTGTCGTTACCCATTTTTTTTTTTTTTTACCTATTATGTCTGTTTGTTTGGCTCACACATTTATTTCATTACAATGAAGTTCTATTCGACTGTCATACAAGTGAGAGGCTTAGCTAGTTATAAAACAAGGTGTAAACCACCATTTTCTACATAAAAAAATGCCTGTTCCAAGTCAGGATTATGCCAGTTGTTTTCCATTCGTTTGATGGGTTTGAGGTTTTTGATTTTGTCATTTGATAACGGATTTTCATTGGAGTTTGGTATTTTTGTTAATTTACTTTGTACATTATTGAAGAAATCAGATATATCTGTTGCAATGGACAAAATGCACATCGTCAAAGTAATATGACCTACCGAATATCCAATGAAAACGGTGTAATATCGTTTCTTGATGCTGGATAAGCCAATCAAATTTACGCAGTTTTCGTTTAACTTTTTCGTATCACACTCAGTGCATTGTAAAATGAGAAATATCTCTTCATGCAAAATGTAGATAACAGGCCACAACCATAAGATAAATCAATCAATAACCTCATTCGACATTAAGACCTGGCCATATAATAACTTCATGTTTTCTGATCTACCAATGAATGTAATTAGGCTATTACTTAATTTCTACAGTCTATAACATTAAAGTAATGGCAAACCTTTTACCCTCACCCCTACCTGATTTTGGTCTTTTGCTCAGTTTTTCTATTTCTACAAAATAGGTAGGAAGGCGTTACAACAGTTGAACGTTATCAAGCGCTTAGGTTAGTTATGGAATAAATTTAACAAATTAAATGATTACAAACTTTTGTTTTAAATTATTTCAAGGTTTCCCTCTCCAAAACGTTGTCCTAAGTATTTGAATCTTCTTATCCGGTTTCCTCAAGATTTTTCTTGCGTCTTTTGTGGAAAAACTCGTTCTTTTTTGTAAGGACTTCAAGGGTTTTACATCATTAACTTCTTTGATGTGTTTCGTTAACTGTTGTTTGTCTATTGATCCTTTTCGTTACAACAGTTGAACGTTATCAAACGTTTAGGTTAGTTATGGAATAAATTTAACAAATTAAATGATTACAAACTTTTGTTTTAAATTATTTCAAGGTTTCCCTCTCCAAAACGTTGTCCTAAGTATTTGAATCTTCTTATCCGGTTTTCTCAAGATTTTTCTTGCGTCTTTTGTAGAAAAACTCGTTCTTTTTTCTAAGGACTTCAAGGGTTGTACATCATTAACACATTGATTTGTCAAAACAATATGAACTTTATCTTTTTTGAAATTTTTTCCCTTTGTTTAGATTATTTGTTTTTTATCGAATAATCTTGATAAAGCCGGATTAACAAAACTGAAAAATCCTGTATGACAAATAAGAGAAATGATAATTCATCTATAGATATGAAGGCTTCGGTTTGAAAACGTAAAAAAAACAAGAGAATGTTTTAATAAAACCCGCCCATAAAGGGGTGCTGTGGTTGTTATGA